TATAAACGAGTAAAAATTCTAAGCGATACTGCACAACAAAACGCCATTAAAAAAATGGCGGCTGAATAATTAAAGCGTTCCATTCAGGCATAGACGAACGTTTAGAAAAGTTAACATTTAACAATTATTCGCCTCAGGTTCGGTGAATATCGTCGAATAATTCCCGAGACGAAGTCGCGGGGATTATTCGACAATATTCACCGAACCTGAGGCGAATAATTGTTTTAGTATAATTACAGAGCTGAACAACAGAGAAATTTCTAAAATCATAACATTTTAGGAACATTTATTAACATTTTTCTTTAACATTTTATATAAACCACGTGGAGCGGTTTATATAGCGTCATATAAGGAACCGCTCGGCCAATCAGATTGCTGGAAACTCTTTGCTCAGCTTTGAAATTATACTAAAACCAGAACCAACGGAAAATGACTCAGTCATTAAAATCAGGAACGGGGAACGGGGAAAAAATCCTTCAATAACTGACTTCATTTATCGTACATGCTGATTGGTGTAGCGACCGAGTTCGTAGAGATTTTGCTCAAAGCTGGAGCCCAGACACTTTTGCCTTGGAGTCAACACCACTTTAGATTGTTGTGCGGTTTATCGGTGCACTTTAAGTTCCAGATCGACTCTGTTTTTCGTTCCCCGTTCCGTAAAGGAAAATGGCTTTCGCCATGAATTGCGTGAGGAACGAAGAAACTCGGAATGCCTCGTTACCAGACTTAAATAAAAACCCACATTAATGTTTATTGTGACTGTGTTTTCTGCTTAAAATACTGAATTCAAAGATTGCTTTTTTCTTCACCATTATATCAATCCCTGCTAACCAATAAAAAGTGAGACATGCCGTCAAAAATGTTATGATTTGATGAGACCATTTCTTAAATGTTAAAGTTCCTCCAATTTACGCTAATTCAGTTTTTTAATTATGTTTTCTAGGGAGCGTATGTTGTCCATATTCTCAATGACAACGCGTAAACTGAGTCACTGATGTCTGGTATTATTATAGGGAAAATTACCTCTATTTGTTCATGAAGTTTAGGCCCTGATGATTACCCAAAAAATTCGAAAAAGATAATAACTTCTGTGATTTAAACTTGACACCGAAGTCTAACCTCCTTGTACGAATTGGAAAATTAAAGGTACCGCCGCCAAAATGACATTCTCTTTAATTTGTCGTTCGTCTTATCCAAGAGAGACCTTACTACCCCATTAAAAATGTCGCTTTATACTGTATGTCTGTCATTTTCCTCCAAACATACACATATGTAGAGTTGGAAAGAAAATAATTATGCAAATACAGCTACATGTCATTTTGAAGCATCTATTTTTTATCTTCCAAGACTAGAATAATTGCAACATTGAGTTGACGTCACTGCATTGTCATAATGGCAGATTTGCTTTTCATTACAGTACATTAATTCACATTTATTCTAAATGATTCTCATTTTTGAAGATTTCGTAATAGCAATACCGTGGATTGAGCACCTAGCTAAATCATAGAAAGGCCCAAAATGGGTTGCACGAACTCGCGCAGCATAGGAAATACACTGATTCTGCATCCGCCGTTCAAGTCCATTGAGAACAATGTGATTCCTTTAACAGATGAACAAATAAAAATCCTGAAAGAAACATGGGGGATAATCGAGCCGACCAAGAAAGAAATAGGAGTGAATGTCTACATACGGTATGGATTTGATATATGTCGCTATTTTAGGTGATCTCGCCAAAAAGGCCTCCCGTTATGCGATACTTTTACGCAATAGATGTTTCATTTCGCAAAGAACCAGTATCACGGTGTGGTCATATTTGCATTTTGTTGGAAAACAGGCGCTGAGAGTAAGTAGATATGTGATTACAAATTATCTGTTTTAATAACTTTGTTTTGTTTTCAGCGTCTTAAATTAAGATCATGATGAAGGGACCTTGATATTCGCTGAGTTTAGTATTTTACAGCCGGAAATCTGTCTTTTTTTCATGTATCGGCCGAGCAATTCTCCTCGGTGATCATTAATGACGTATATACATGATCGAGCAGCTATATCTGCCATTACTCTTTCTCGAAACCGAACTGACCGAACGGATCAATTTGGTTTTAAGAGACGGCTCAAACGCTGGGTATACCTTCTGTAGCATGAAAGGGGTTTCCTCGCGTTTTATTTCGGATAATTCATACTCTAAGTCTAATTGAAAAAACTAAAGACAACAGCCAACGCAATAACATCATCATAACAGGAATGTTTTTCGTCGTTGTTGTCGTTGTACTTTTTTGTTTCGTTTACGGGTGGAGCCCTTTGCAACTTTGCACCGAGAGGATACTGAAATGCTGTAATTCCTACTCAAGATTTTTCATACGTTTGTTTCTGATGTTTTTATTGCCGTTAATTTTCTTCATCAGTCAACAAATTTGCTATTCGTCATGTTTGTACATAACAAACAAAAATGTAAGATTGAAGACTGTCATAGATTGCAACGTGTCGCACAGACAGCCCAAGCTCACTACTAGAAAAGCGTACGTGACTCTTACAGTGTTGCGCACAGGCCTCCCAAGCTCACTACTAGCAAAAGCGGACGTGACTCTTACAGTGTTGCGCAACATTTTATATTTATAAAGGTTTGTATGGGATGTTACCAGTTTGCCTTAAAAGAGAGAAAAAATGTCTTGTTTTGAAATAAAATGGACTTACCTTATTGCCTTGTTGTTTTCTTTGTTGATTTCCATAGAATAGACTTTTTTTAGCTGTTGAACACCAAACTAGCGCTAACTCGCCGAAAATGCTTCAAAATGGCCTGAGACGCTGGTAATCAATAAGGAAAACAACAAGGCAATAAGGTAGGTCCATTTTATTTCAAAACAAGACATTTTTTCTCTCTTTTAAGGCAAACCGATAACATACAAACCTTTATAAATATAAAACGTTGCACAACACTGTAAGAGTAGCGTCCGCTTTTCTCGTTGTGAGCTTGGGCTGCCTGTGTTGTTATATTTCATGATTATCCATTCTTGGTCGAGAGATTTATTCGACTGTTCATAAATCTGATTATTCCATTATTCGACTGTTTATAATTGTAATCATAATACACGCATGTAAGATTACTTAGGCTGCAATTTAACTTTTTTCAGATCCGGTAGTAAAATATATCAGTATTTATAAACATGTCAGTTGAGGTGCATGTACGCAAAATGTTAATCAGTTGAACATTAAGAAATGCCTCAAGAAAAAAATCAAAATAATACTTTTCTTAATCTCAGCGAGCAGTGTGTATCGTACACAATTTCTCGTTCGGAAATTCAAAATGTTACTGTCTGGCCCTTGCTGATTCACAAGTTACATGTACTGCAAGTTTGCTAAGAAATTCTGAAAATTATCTGATTTGTTCTTCCGCCGGAACGAAGCCCTGGCTTCTCAGCCACGGAATATTTTTCTCAAATATTTGATAATTCTTTTTATTATGAGAATTTACAAAAATGGGATCAAAACCAAATCGCCACCTTCCAGATGATCTTCAGTTTCGCTATTTATTCAAATATTATTTTAGTTTATTTGAACTGTTGACATATTGACGCCGGGAAGAAATTTACGATGGCGTCTCTATGGCAGACTTAAGTAACCCATGAAAAGCACATAACAGTTTACTGCATCTGCTCACATTAACTGAATATTCATACTGAAAGTACAAGACAGGATTTTACCCCCAAAAAAATCGGTCGCCGATCTTAATTCTCGGCTATCTTTAAAACAAGGAATGGGTT